ACCTGCAGATCACAGGGAACGTTGTTTGGGACTAAACGCTCAGAAAACAATAGTCGGGGTGACCTGAGCATCCTACGCCCTCTGTCCTCCTCTCTTTCCCTGGGCCCACCGCATCGATCCCGCCAGCTGCCTCCGTGCTGCCGGTGATGCTCAGGGCTGAATTCTGTTGGTAAAATAACCTCAGTCCTTCGGCGAGCCCCTACCTGCACCGCGAGGCTCCGTGTGCCGTGGGGCAGGGGAAGGAGGCACATCCACAGGGTGCGATGGGGAGATGCGGATGCTTTTATCCCAAGCTCCGCTGCCGACCTGCTCGGCGGCCGTGGGTGCAGCGACGCTCCTCTCCGAACGCCTCTCCAGCTTTTTCGCGCCGGGAGAGAGCAGCTCTTGTCTCAGGTGGGCCCTGTGGCCAAAACTTTATTGGGAGGAGGTGGCAGCGAGTCTCACTGGGGCTCCTCACCAGAGACAGGGATGTGCCTGCCCATGCTGGGGGGAGGAGCAGCTCTGTCCCCCCCCCGGCAAAGCATCGCCTCGAAAACGCCATGCGGGGCTCGTGCAAAAGGGAGGGGAACCCTGGAGCGAGGCCGGGGCTGCGCCGGTGCTGCTTTGCCGTCGGCTCCGGCTCGCGGCGGCCAGCCCCAGCCTCCCGCTGGCCCCCGGCCAGGCTGCCTGCTCCTAACTAGCTAGTGCCCCTTTCTTGGGTCCCTGCCACCACCGCCACCGTGCCAGTCCACTCCGGGGAATTACCAGCAGATTCTTAATTAAGCGGGAGGTTCTGGCCGCCCTCTCGAAGGCAATCTCTGGGGATGTGTCCAGGGGCGAGAGAAGAGGGATCCCGATGGCTGAATCTGCGCTTGGATGTTTCCCAGTGAGGTTTAAAAATTAAAAACCCAAACAAGAAAAAACCCAAAATGTAATTTGGGATACTTAACGGTGATTCTGCCTGCTTGGGTGATCAGGGTTTTCTGCGAAGGTTGCGGCGGGTACCAGTCCGTTCGTGCTGCCGATGTGCCGTGGGCACCTGAGGCTGCGCGGCTCCGAGGATGCGGCTGCCGACGCGGCACCGAGAGCCAGCCGTGCCGTGTGGGCTGGGAGGGCTCCGGGTGCGTTAGGGACACAGAGCGGTTTCCAGCTGGCTCCGGGGCTGTCGGAGACCAGCAGTGGGTGTTTTCTGAACGAACGGGGCTTTCCTTTGCTGCCACTTTTTCCCGTTTCACCTCGGTTTCTCCCTTCTGGAGAAGAGGTTTCTCCTGATGCACTTTGGGTTTGACCCACACGGTTATCGATGGGCACAGCGCGAGAGGGCGAGAAATCTCCATGGTACCTGGATATTGCAGGATCCACCACGGCACTTTGCTCTGTCTCTTTGCTTTTCCCCTCGGTGAAGTTTAACCTGTTGGTGTGTTGAGCTCTTTAAAGAGCTGGCTGAAGAAAAACCCGAGGAAAGCCTTTGATGGAGCAGATCTTGGTGCTTCCACTGCTCGGGGGTAACGAGGGTCTGACCCAAGATGCTCGTCTGTGGTGTGGCTCCGTGATGTGGGTCCCATCGCAGCCTCCTGTTACAGCCCGGTTGCATCAGGGTGGGTGGTTTTTTTTCCCCCAGTGAGCCCAACCCACGGCTGGGGAGGGTTTACCGAGAGCATCGAGAGATTTCAAAGGTCTCACTTTGCCTCCCGGTCGTGCAGGAGAGCCAGCAGATCCGCACGGGGCTGCCGGACGCGTTGGCAGGTTTTCGAGGGCTGAAGGACGGACGTAGTGGGATGCTAAAATCCCGTTATTACAAAGAGCACCCTTGGCGTGGAGCAGGAGGAGGGCGATGCCGGGATCCGTCCCTGGGACCCGTGGTTCCTCTCCCCTTACAGCCCTGCAGCTGTTCGTCCTCCTCTCCCCACCCCCAATTTTTTTCTTTTTTCTTTTTAAATTAAAAAAAAAAAAAAAGCTACCGGCACGTGGGCAGAAACCATCCAGATCGGCAAAAATATACTTTTTTTTTTTTTTTTTTTTTTACCAGGTCGATCAGTCCACTCCGGCTCACCCCAAGGATCTGGGAGGCTCCTGCCTTCGGCATAAGGCGAGCAGCGCCTGGCAGAGCTGTTCCCTTCTCCCGTGGGCTGGAGATGCCGGGGCTGGTCCGTGGCTCCTGCCTGCCCGAGGGGCACGAGCACCAGTCCCGGCTGGCAGCCGGGGGCGGGCGAGCGGAGGTTGCGAGAGCCCTTCAGCGGCGCGGGAGGGAGGAGCTCCCGCCTTTGGCACATCATGAATAAAAAGCCGGGGAATCGCTGTCTCGCGGAGTTATTTATTTGGAGTAAAGCTCTGCTGGGCGCGGAGGTGGGAGTGGGCAGAACTGGGCTGTCGCGTTCGGTGGTGCGAAGAGTGGCATTTTGCGACGAGGATTTAAATACGGCGGGACCCGCTTCTAGCAAAGCAAATAGCGGGGTTTATTTATTCATGACTTCCTCTGTAATTCTAACCACAGCCGCTGCCGAGCGTTCGGACAGAGCCGGATTCGAGCAGGGGCTGCTCATCGGAGGGGGAGGTTTCCACCCGCCGTGGGGCAGCTCCACGTCGAGCCAGACCTCACTGAAGGGCTGAGGGATGCAGCCCCGACTCCACCCTCCCCGGAGCAGGATGGGCACCGATGGAGATGGGCCAGGGGTCAAGTATTCGGAGTGCCGGCTCATCCCGGGATTTCGTGGGATCCCGCTCTGCTTTGTGTAGCTCACCCGGTTGGGCTGATAAAAGCCCCATCTATCCCTCCGAGCGTGGCCTCATGGGGATTTAATATCCGTCAGCGATGGAGGCCGTTAGGAGCGGCTAATAATCCCGGTGGTGTGGTCGCAATGGGAGGAATTACCGGTTAATTAACATATTAATAAAAGCGCAGCAGCCCCGGTGAGGCGCAGAGCAGCCCCCTCGCCTTGCCCGGCTGGTGCATATGCGGGCGGTGCTCTGCCCGGGCGGGCGCTCCAGCAAGCTCGGCAAAGGAGATCCGATTCCTTTTTTTTTAATTATTATTATTATTTTAATTGTTTTTTAATTTATTTTTTTTTTTTTTAGGGGGAGAAAATTTAGATGCCACCAGCAGAATTACGGTGTGAGGACATAAATGGCTCTTTTCTCTCCATAGCACATTTGATTCTGGTCACGTATGTGCAGAACACATGCTCTGCCCGTGCAGATGCTTGTAGCTATCTGGAGAAGTTTCCGTGGCAGGGGTGGGCAGTGGGAGACCTACGGGGTTTCCTCTATCGCTTCAAATCCTTTTGACCCTCCCTGGACTGTGACATTCTTTGCATTCTGAATTTCTTAATCTCTCTCCCATTCATTTCGGGATGCGGATTAGCATGTAAACGAGAGGTCTGGTTTCAGAGCATGCTCCCCCTCTTTGCTTCCTGCAGCCCCCCGCAACACGCTGCAATTTCAAGGGTTGGGTTGGTTTCTTTTTCCCCCCATCCACCCAGTTTGCATCTGTAGTAGCGACAAAATTTGGTGGTTTGGAGCCTTCCCGGTGGCTGAGCTGGCGGGAGCACTGAAAAGTCTTATTTTTTTTGTGGTTCATTTTGACTTTTAGAAGGGAGAGCAACCCCAAATCTGGCCATCCCATCCCTCCGGTCTGGATCTTTGGGAAATCTTTGGTGACTTTGGGAAACGTCAGTTCTGGTTTTGTTTGAAACCAACTGACCCAGCCAGCCCTTTCGGGGATTTTCACGTGTGTGGGTTTGCGTCGGCAGCACGGATCAGAGGGGATGCTCGAGGGAGCTGCTTTTACCTCGCAGGATGAAGGGGCTGAGGAGGAATCCTTACCTGTGTGGCTAAATCCTACCGATTGCTTTGGGCCGGTTCATGCTGAGATGATTTCTTCTCATTGACAAATAAGCTGAGCCACCTTCTGAAGTTGTGTAATTAGAAGATAAGGATCTGGAATCTCATTTTCTCTCCCTTTTTGGATTATTTCACGCGTTCATAAATACTTCGAATTTGAAGCCTGGGTCTGTGATGAGCAGGTCTGAGGGTATTTACTCGATATAGTGCTGTGAGCACCGAGCTGCCTGCCGTGGTCGTGGCATTTATCTTCCCTTTCTTTAGACATCTTAAAACTCAGTGGATTTGGTTATTCCTGAGAAACAGAGGCCAACGGGGGGGACCAGCCATCCGTGGGGGGTTGGGCACTGTTTGCATATGGGTTGCACCCACAAAGCTGCATCCTTTGAAGCGTTGGGCACCTAAAGGTGTCATTGCCTTTAGGTGGGTGGGGGCTCTTGGGGTGTCCAGCGGCACATCGGGGTGCCAGCAGCCGCAGCGGCGTGGCTGCACGCCGATGCCGGAGTCGCCGGACAAGCCTGCGGCTGCTCTCAGCTGTCTGCGGCAGCTGCAGGGCGAGGGGCAGGCGGGGGGGGGGACAGCACCCCCGGGGTAAATTTGGCATCGGAATTAAATAAAGAGTTTCTATTTTGGGAAAAGTGAAGTTAGGAAGAGCCAAAAACCAGAGTGGAGAAGCAGCCTGAGACCGTCTCGGGCGGTGGAGCTGGGATGCCCGCTCCTCGATCTCCCCGGTTAAAATTCAGCCGGGTTTTTGGATGTGGCGGGGGGGGGGGGGGGGGGGGGGGGCCGGGGGGGGGGGGGGGTGGTGGCATCCCGAGGGTCGTCCCTCGGTGCAGGGAGGGTGCAGGAGGGCAGGTTACATGAGCGCATGGCTCCCTTTTTGCTTTCTAATCCTCCTATTTAATCTGGCAAAAGTCTCTGCCTTTCCAGCCGTGCCCATGTTAGCGCTCCAGCCGGTGCTGAAGGGTTGGGGGGATTTTGGCATCTTGTTCTCGGTGAAGCTCCCGGCGTAAACCCAGCACCGACCGGGCTGGGTGTAATTAGCCAAAAGCCATCAGAAACCCCGGTAGCATATGGAAATGCAAAGCTTGATTAGATACCTCAACGTGCAACAGTTCAACGCAGGACGGCCGTGTTTCAGATACGAAATCTGCTTTTTAATCACTTTTCATTTATTTCAGGAGCCGGAAAATTCAAATCCGAAACATCCCACCCCAGCTGCGATGGGAGGTAAGGGAGCAAGTGAGAAGTGTAGATCAGATTTGAGGACTAATTCCCCCCCCAGGTTTCTGTACTTGCGATTAAAGTTGATTTGTCCTTTTCTTTGTTATTAATTGGGTCTAATTATACTAGATCCTTGCATCCACGTAGCTTATTCCTCTTCCGTTACAGGAGTAAATTCAACTGGTAGAAGCAACGTAAGCTACACCAGCAAAATCTCCATTAATAACAGGGTTATATGATTTATCTATTGTATAAGGAACAAAATGGATCCTTTCTTCCCGCCGACTGCTGGGACTTTTCCCCGACTCTTCCCCCCACCCCCCCAGCTGGCTCCGAGGCCCCGTGGTCCAGCGTCCTGGGGCAGGCAGGAGCTTCCTTCATCTAATTGCTTGTGAAATCTTAATGACTAGAAAGCTGCCTTTATTGATTGATTGTATTTCCCTGGTCTGTCCTGACGGTCCCATTGTGAAGTGTGGGGTTTTTTTTTTTCTCTCCCTTTTCCAGGTTCTGGATGGTTTGCTAGCCCAGTATGGCACCGTAGAAAACTGCGAGCAAGGTAGGACTGAAAATATAAAAATATTTAAGATATTTTCTGCCCCAGCTATTTCTGGGGGGGGGGAGGAGGCCGAGGGCAGACACGCGGTTTTCCTTTGTCAGCAGAAGCCAGGGCTAAAGATGTCAGGAGGTCTCAGCCTGGTTGCTGGGGCTATTTTTTTGTTCCCTATTGCTAAAAGACGAGTCCCGTGCGGTGGCTTTGCCGGCGCACGTGGGCGTCCCCGCATCGGGTGCCGGGTCGGCATCATTCCCACCGCAGCCGCTGGGTACCCACCAGCAGCCGCTTCGGGGGAAGGTGCAGGATGCTCTCCCGAGGCTGGCTGGGGACTATCTGTCTCCACTCGGCAGATTTTATCTCAGCCTCTAATGGCGATCAGTTGAGACAAGAGGTTTAATATTGCCCCCGGGATGTTTAATGAGAGTAGAGTTACCATAACCCTCCTAGAAATGGAAAGGAGGGCTCGGAGGAGCTCCTGGGACCGTCCCTGGGCTCTGGCGAGGGATGGCAGGATGGAATTGGCTTTGGTGGCTTTGCTGCAGAGCGCAACGGCATATCGGGATCCTTTAAATAAGGCAGGAGGGTCTGTGCTGCCCAGGATGAGTCCCAGGGTGGCCTGAGCCCTTGGACACTCTTCTCCCTTGCAGGAGAAAAATGTTTGCAAATCCCTGGGGAGCCCCGGCGGGGACCCGTCCGAGGGGGAATTTGTCTGAGCGGGGACTCTCCGCTTTTCAGGGGGGGCCTTGGCGTTCGCGCCGCCTCTCTAATTTCTGCCTCTTTTGCTCGCAGTGAACACGGACAGCGAGACCGCCGTTGTCAACGTCACCTACGCCAACCGGGAGCAGACCAGGCAGTAAGTGCTCCACGTCCCCCGGGAGCTCGGGCTCTCCTCCCTGCTGTGGCTTTGGTCCCTTCCCCGCTTATAGAAAACAGGATTTCCAGTGCTGGGAGTCAGATTACCCCAGAATTCCTAAGTTTTTGCTGAAAATGCAGTGAATCTTTGAGGAAACCCCCCAGAACTCTGATTTCTTTTCCTTCACCTTCAGATGAAAGCCCTTCAGAGGACATCCATGTTTTTAGGCTTTTCTCTGCAGTTCAGAGAGTAAAACCGTAACTTTTTGCTCAAGGAAAAGTAGAGATTTTCTTGTGCTTACATGATTTCAGGAGTTACGTCTCCAGAAAAAGTAGTAACGAGGTCAAATATCGTAGGAGCTGGTAGGCATCAGGCAATGCGTGTCCTCTCTGGCTGATGGCTGTGTCACTGGGGGACTTGCAGCTCCGTTCCCCATCCTGCCCGGGGAAGATCAGGCTTTGCGCTAAATGCAAATGGAAAATCAATTGGGTTTTCACGCTGTTTATTTCACTTTCCTTTTGCCCCGACAAAGGGCTCTGGAAAGCTGGAAAAGGGACGGGATCAGCACTTTCCTCAGAGGGCAGCCTGGAGGAGTGTGGGGATTGATTGATAGGTTTTTATCCGGAAAGGTTTCCGTCACCGAGGCGGGCATGTCTCAAATGTGGCCACCGTGGCTGCGCCACCGTCCCTGGGGACGTCTCCTGTGGTCACTCCGCCAAAGCGGCAGCTTCCAAATGGCCGCCTGGCTGATAATACTTCAGCTGTCAAACCCGTGGCCGCCGTGAATTTGCTGCGGTCGCGTGCGCGGCCGCAGCAAACCTTCGTGGGGGAACCGCGGTCTTGTTTTACTTTCTGTAATAACGCGGGGCAGGGTCTGGCCGTGGAGCCTGGCAAGGGGAACGCTCCTGGTTTGTCCTCCTCTCCCTTGTCCATCCACGCCAGCCCTGCGCTTTGCACCCCGTAAAGTGAAATATTTTGGGTTTCTTTCACCGGGAGGCACCCAGCAAAAGAGTTTCGTGCAAGTAGTTTTGCTCTCAGATCGGCAGCCCTTCTCCCCTGCTTTTTCCTCCTCTGGGGATGCGTGTGCTTCATCGAGCGTCTTTCTCTGGTCCCTTCGCATCCTGCAGGGACGGGGCTGCTAGCAGGGAAAGTCTCTGTTCAGCCAGTTTTAGGGTTTTTTGGGTGGTTTGGTTTTTTTGGTTTTTTTGGTTTTTTTTGCAAGGGTTGAGTCACTGACCACTTTCTGGAGAGCTGCAGTTTTGGTTTTCTCCGTAGAAAGCCAGGGAGGTTTGAAGGAGCTGCGGAGAGCAGTGGCCAAAGCTGTTGCTTTGCTCTTGCTGCCAGCTCCATCTATCGACAGCTTTCAGCTCTTGCAGTCCCTGAAGTCCCGCCGGGAGAGGGATTTGAAAGATCAGCCAAAAATCGTAAGGCGGAGGAGACGTGGGAATCAATCCCCGCACGATCCTGTCCTGCACCCATCGCTCCATCCCCTCCCCCAGGTGCTCGGAGAGGTTCCCCTTAAAATATTTTGGCTCATCCAGTCTGGGTGGAAAGTCCTGCCAGGTCCCCACGGCATCGGCGACGTCTCCTTTCCCCCCTTCCCGGTGCTTCCTCGCTGGGCGTTACGCCAGGGAGGGCTTGGCCCGTTTTGGGTCGAGCTGATGCGCTGCCGCTTGGCGTGGGAGTGTGCCAGGAGGGACCCCCACCCCAACCCCTTCTCCCTTTCCAGAGCCATCATGAAGCTGAACGGGCACCAGCTGGAGAACCACGCGCTGAAGGTCTCCTACATCCCCGACGAGCAGTCCATGCAAGGGCCGGAGAACGGGCGGCGGGGCGGCTTTGGGGCGCGCGGTGCTCCCAGGCAGGGCTCCCCCGTCACCGCGGGGGCACCGGTCAAGCAGCAGCCAGTGGATATCCCCCTCCGCCTCCTGGTGCCCACCCAGTACGTGGGTGCCATCATCGGCAAGGAAGGGGCCACCATCAGGAACATCACCAAGCAGACGCAGTCCAAGTGAGTCCGTTCTCCCACGAGCCGGTTTGCACCTTGTCGAGCCGAGTGGTCTGCCGTGATATATGAGGCTGGAATTTTTTCGGAGAATGGGCTATTTGAGGCCCCTCCGGCTCTCCCGCCGTGCAGGGCAGTGTGTCCCAGAGCCACCTTCCCATGCCCTTCCCCAGCCAGGCTTTCTGGCTGCACTTCCCCACGTGTCTCCCTTTGCCGGGGCCGCCCTGGCTGGGACAGGACCCAGGCAGGCTTGCGGGGAGGTCGCTGGTTCAGCCGGTCTCATTTAGCACGAGCTTGTTGAACTTCACCCGCCTGCTCTTGCATTTGGCTCCCGAGCTTATGTTGGCTACGGCTCTTGTCCCCCAAGGAAGGCTTTATCTAAGACGTGAAGTGATGGACAGCCCATCCCGTCCCCCAGGCACGTGCTTGTTCCACCACTTAATCACTCCTGTTGCTTAAAATAAATAGATGCTGATGCCTTATTTGGATTTCTGTGATTTGAGCTTCTAGCTGCTGCGTCCATGTCAAGTATCAAGCCCAGAATTAACTCCTCTTGCCTTCCCTGGGTGCATATAACCTTACAGTCGCGTGTGAGCTCCAGGCGGTTCATGGGGAGCGGAGCAGCCGGCACTCGTGCCGCCGGGAAGCTGCAGAGCCGCTTCCCCTGCCCCAGCACCCATCCCGTGCTTGCAGGATTGACGTGCACCGGAAAGAAAATGCGGGAGCCGCAGAAAAAGCCATCAGCATCCACTCCACCCCCGAGGGCTGCTCCGCCGCCTGCAAGATGATTTTGGAGATCATGCAGAAGGAGGCGAAGGACACCAAGACGTAAGGTTTTCCCCTGCCTTTCTGCGCACGCTTATCCCATCCGTGGCTCTTCACTGGGCTGTGGTACCATCCTAACGCCCGGAGCCGTGTGATGCTCCCATGTGTGCAGGAGCTTTGGTTTGGGGGGACCCAGGGACTCCAATCAAGGGGACTTGAGCTTCCCCCATCCCTCTGTACCAAATCCGTCCTCTTCTGGCTGCAGTAATCCTTCATGTTAGTTTTTTTTCCCATTCCTCTCTCAAGAGCTGATGAAGTGCCCCTGAAAATCTTGGCCCATAACAACTTTGTGGGGCGCCTGATCGGCAAAGAAGGGCGAAACTTGAAGAAAGTGGAGCAGGACACGGAGACAAAAATCACCATCTCGTCGTAAGGCTTCTTGCTCCCTTTAGGGAAACCGGGGCAGACCTTCCTCAGGCCAGGGTGGATGGGGAGGATGAGGAGGAGACGGGTGATGTGATGAGCGGGCAGAGATGCCTGCCCGTCAGCTGAGAAACCGGCCTGTGGGTGCTTTACTCCCCAAAGCTCTCTTGAAAAATCTTGGCTTTATCATTTTCTGTGTTCTCCTCCCGGTCCCTTTGGTGTCCGCTCTCCATCCCTTCAGGGCTGCAGAGCTCAGGACTGGCTGGTTTGATGGCCAGGGCTGGGGTTTTACTCTTAAGCCATGTTTTTGGGTGAAGGCAGAGTGGACTACCCAGTGCCAACCATGATACCGGTCCCTGCTCTGACTGGGACCAGGCGGTCCCAGTACACGGTGGCAGTGGCACCCCGTGTCCCTGGCACCCCAATAGCACCCATCAGAAGGACGGGAGGACCCGGCATAGCACTGGTCGGGCAGGGCAGGGTCCCCGCGCTGACACTGGCTTTCCCATCAGCTTGCAGGACCTGACTCTGTACAACCCCGAAAGGACCATCACGGTGAAGGGCTCCATCGAGAACTGCTGCAAAGCGGAGCAGGAGATCATGAAGAAAGTGAGGGAAGCCTACGAGAACGACGTGGCCGCCATGAGCGTGAGTGGGGTTCGATCCTGCTCTGCATCTTGACTGATGGGAGCTCTCTAGGAGGATGCCCCGATAAAAGCAATGAGCATTTCTCTCCTGTCGCCCTCAGTTGCAATCTCACCTCATCCCTGGCCTTAACCTGGCTGCGGTTGGCCTCTTCCCTGCCTCCTCCAACGCAGTACCTCCTCCGCCGAGCAGCGTCTCCGGGGCCGCGCCGTACAGCTCCTTCATGGTGAGTGAACGCCCAGCAGCTCAAACTGCTCCAGCTTCCAGCTCGGGGATCTCCCCTGCGTGGAGAAGACCCTTGCAATGGTCAGGGTTATGCCTTCAGCATCCTGTGCTGTCAGCAGCCAGGTCAGGTCCAGCGTGGGTGCAGGATCTGGTGTTTTAAACTATTGCAAATGCAATGGAGACGGTGCTCAGACCCCATGGTCTGCACCCTTTGGAGAGGTGTGGGCATCACCTGGGGGGGAACTTGGAGCCCTGATCCCCATGGTGGCACCGTACCCTGAATGGTGACACCGTACCCTGAACGGTGACACTGTACCCGCAGCCTCCGGAGCAGGAGACCGTGCACGTCTTCATCCCCGCGCAGGCGGTCGGCGCCATCATCGGCAAGAAGGGCCAGCACATCAAGCAGCTCTCCCGGTTCGCAAGTGCCTCTATCAAGGTAGGATTGCCCCGTGGGGACCCCCCCTCTGCTAGCACCCACTGAACGGGTGCTGTCCTGTCTGGGAAAACCACCTGAAAAGCCCAGGCGGTCGGGCTGGGGGCCCAATCCTGCGGCGCAGGGGAGGGAGGGCACGGCCTCCACCCTGCCCGTGCCGCTCCCCGCTGCAGCTGCGCTCTCTCTCTCCCCCCTCCAGATTGCCCCTCCGGAAACGCCGGACTCCAAAGTGCGCATGGTCGTCATCACGGGCCCTCCAGAAGCTCAGTTCAAGGTTCCCCCTGCACTGCCGTCACCGTGGGGAATTTGGGGTGTCCCTCTCCGCCGCCCCGCGGAGCCAGGAAGGGAGGAGCAGGGCGGTGACCCCCATTTTGAGCCCCCCAGTCTGCGGCTGGGTAAACCCAGCATCAGCTCTCCCAGGGGCTGAGGTGGTTTGAAACGCCAAGGAACCGGGATTTCATGGGGTGCTGTCCCGTCCCGGGTCCCGGGGATGGAGACCCACTGAGCCGGTGGGGACATGCGGGGGTAGGACACCTTGGGTGACGCCTGACCGCGTGCTCCCTCCCCTCCGCAGGCGCAAGGCAGGATTTACGGGAAGCTGAAGGAGGAGAACTTCTTTGGACCGAAGGAAGAAGTGAAGCTGGAGACGCACATCCGGGTCCCCGCCTCAGCCGCGGGCAGGGTCATCGGCAAAGGGGGCAAAACCGTAAGCAGAAGCGATGCTTGGACGGGGATGGGAGCACCCCGGGAGGGGGACATCCCTGGGAGGGTGGCTGCTTCATGCCAGTGCCTGGGGACATCCCAGGGACAGGTTTCCCGGTGGCCTGGCTGGGATTTCCCGGAGGGGCTCGTCCTTCCTGCACGGTGCGACGGGGTGGTCTCTGCCCCTTCCCCGCAGGTCAACGAGCTGCAGAACCTGACGGCGGCGGAGGTGGTGGTGCCGCGGGACCAGACCCCCGACGAGAACGAACAGGTCATCGTGAAGATCATCGGGCACTTCTATGCCAGCCAGGTACAGCCCCGGCAGCTCCCGCACCAGCACTGGTGGATTCTCTGATGGCTCCTATGGGATTGTGCCCACGTGTGTATCCTCCTGTGGAAGTTTTTTCCACGCCCGGCTGGTGGTGTTTGCAGAAGTGGGTGACGGCGAGCTGTGCCCTTTGCCATGGGTGATGGTGTGGGACGGTGGGGGAAGGAGGGAGAGCTGTGGGAGTGTGCGCACGCGCAGAGCGTGACCTCCCAAACCCAACTTCTGGAGGAAACCACGCTCAAAATAGGGCAGGACGGGATCGCCAGGAGCAACTTCACCCAGCCCTGCTGAACGCCGTAGCATCTTTCACGACGCGCAAAGCCGTTCCCCTCGCCCCGGGGGTCTTGCCGGCCCCAGGGTCCCCCCCCAGCTCCCCCCCTTTGCTCTTCTCATCCGCAGATGGCTCAGCGCAAGATCCGAGACATCCTGGCCCAGGTGAAGCAGCAGCACCAGAAGGGACAGAGCGGCCAGACGCAAGCACGGAGGAAATAAGAGCAGCACCGACACCAACGTGAAAAGCGGAACAAGCCAATGCCGGGCTTAAGAGTGGCTGGGAATCAGTTACCGTAGACAGATGCTAATTTTTTCATTAACCGATCGAGACTAAAAGGCAGTTTGATTGGCTTCCGAGGTAGATGGCTAGGGTTAAAAAAAAAAAAAAAAAAAAAAAAAAACAAGGCCGCTTTTTGCCCCCCGG